GCCGTGAAGTCTTTGGCAGTTCCCCTTCCACAAGGTTTAAAAAGCGCTTCTCAATCAATAGAAATAGCACAATTTAAAATTACAAAAATTAAGAATGAATTTTCATTTATGGACAAAACAGCACACCTGGAACACACCATAAAAGCACTACATGTCAAAACTCTGAAACTTGGCAAATGAGTTATATGATGAATGATTCAAGACTTCTACTCAAAGAAAACAAAGCGCTATCCTTAAGAAAATTATTTCTGTGTTGAGAAAGAAGACAAACTCTTCAAAACTATTATAGTCACAAAACAACTTTGAAACTGTTGCATGTGAAAATCGAAACTTGGCCTTTATTTCTGAAATGCTATGATCGATCCATCCCACAAAGCGATATAACTTGTGATGGAAAAGATGCAGATGCTTCTACAAGTGTCTGTCAATTTACTTACATACTGGCGGATGCAGTCAATGACATGCACCGATGGCACATCTATGTTTTCTACCGAGGCTTTTCTAGTTTTCAACGTACATTTCAGACATTTCAAACTCAAATTCATATGACGATTTAAGAGAAAGAAAAGCTGATATTGAAGCTCTTTCTAAAATGAGTCTGTTTTTACTTTTACTCCTCCTCCCTTCAAATCTTTATTTGCGAATGTCTCAAATACGTCATATGATAATCGGAAACCTTAATTTACTTGAATTATGCAGCGTTCATACCAATAATTCGTATATACACGCCCTTAAGTAAAATCCTGACATAAATAAAACATATTAAAACAGTGAATGTACCCACATACCTCTTCATTCACATCTAAATCAAAAATTTCATTATCTTCATCATTGTTTATTTCAGACTGAACATTTAGGGTTTCCTGAGATGAGTTTAACTGTCTAAAGGCAGTATCATATGTTCCGTCTCCGTCATCAATAATGCACTCATCTAAATCTTCAGCCATGTGTTCTAACTTACTGACATCAGGCTCAAAAGTGTTCTGCATATAAATGTAGTCACTGGAGAAAGAAAAATTAAAGATTTAATAACATTTTCAAAGGAATTAATAAAACTACACCAAAAATAGGTAAATTTGTGACACAAATGCAGCCTAAGTTGATAACAATAGAAACAAATTTATAATTTGATTACAAATAAATAAAAGTTAAAACTATATTTAGTTCAAGTCAAACCTTTTTAAATTTAGGATTAGGAGGAAACTATATAAATAAAAATATAAGTAAAATATAACGAAATAATATAAAACATTTCAGATGTTATACATATTTATTTTGTTTCACAAATAGCACAAACTTGAAAGCCCTTATGCACTGTCAAGACATATATTTATAAACAAATAAGTAAGTTTAATGCCTTCTGTGTTGAACAAATTTACAGAAAAAATATGAAAAATTGAAAAATAAATTAAGAATTAACACAGATTTTTCAAAAATAAAAACTTTTACAAATAACAAAAACCGTACTGAATAAGTATAATTCAGTTTGAATTCATAAATTCTCGATGAAATACAAAAAATTTTCTTTCAACTCTCAAGATTTGACAACAGATTCAAGAGAAACAATCTTTTACTTAAAATAATTTAGGCTAGTTCTAGTAAAATCCGTGAACAGTACATGAGGTCGCATAATCAAATCCTCACACTTGTACATCTCCAAAGACAGAATGAAAACACCATTTTTAACCTTGACCCTGGAGGAAAATTGCACGGCATAAGATCCGGTAACCTAACACATTAAACTGTAATCACAAAGTGTTAGGATTCATGAAGACTTATCTAGAGAAATAAAATTCAGGACACTAAAACTAAACTCGGCGGCACAAACAGCCCATAGAGAACCATGGCCGGCAGTGCCCTGATATCTGCTTTCCAGACCGTGGGTTCCGGAGTTCTTGTGCATCTTAGACCTGGACAAGTGGTCAGCTTGTCGCAGAACCCTCGGTGTTTAGTCCCCAAGCGAACTTGGTACCCATTTTATCAAACCCACTCCACGGATGAAAGGCTGAGTCAACCTTGCCCAGCACGGAGATCGAGCTCCGGACCTGTGGTGCTGCTACGCCAAAATTCAGGGAACAGCCGATTCTGAAAACATATCGTTCTATATCACATTTTTGTAAAAGTCTAAAATTCGAGTTTTCATTTGTCATTTCATTTGTAGTAAATTAACACATTACTAATAAGAATGGAATTGTGTCGATCTGAAAAACGGTCAGTCATTTTGAATACCTTATACTTAGAAGTAAGGTAACTTACAGTTCAGCTAAAAGATAAAATTACTATACAAACTTCTGTTCAGATAAAATTACGATACAAACTTCTGTTTCTGTGTACGCACCAAACAGAAATTCTCATATAAAAATTTTGATGTGGACACACATGATTTCCTTGTACGACTTGTTAAATTATACACATTTTTTGCTGCATTTCATTTAAACTTATTTCCTCAATATCGTTAGAGATATATTTCTCATTCAATTAATTCAGTTCTCAATTCGCGGCAAGGCAAAAATACATAAAAACTAAAAATATCTTCATTAAAATTGAAGAATGTAGAAAAAATAAAACACCAAATACAGTTAAAACAGCTTTAAAAAATTACAATTAAAATTAAGAGTTTCTACGCAAAAGCAAGCAATTCGGCCAGCGAACAAGAAGCTAGATTTTTCGGAGCACAAAAGTGAAAGTTTACTTTTGGTCCCACTCGGCCAAACGACACTGAAGGTGCAGAAACTGACTTAATTCACAATTCTGCTAAATTTCAAATGTAAACAAATATGACTGCTCTGTTGAGCTTAGTCGCACTTAAACAAATTTCAAACTGTTGATAATTCTACAACTATTGCATGCAAATTAACCAAAAGCATAAAAACTTTAATCGGAACATAGGAACAACATAATTTAATCACCTTACTAACTAGCCTAAATTATTTTAAGTAAAAGCAAGCAAAAAATGCGCTATTTACCAGCATACAAAAAAAAAAAAAAAAAAAAAAAAAAAAAAAAAAAAAAAACCTCACCAAGCCGAGTAACACAGTGAGTATGTACATGTATATATACAGGTACATATAATATATATATACGACAACGCCGCCGCCGAAGTTTTGGTGAAGTTCAACGTAACAACACTGCCGCAGCCACCCTACAGCTCCGACTTGGCTCCAAGTGACTTTTTCCTCTTTCCCCGAATCAAGACAGGCCTAAAAAAGGAAAGCGATTCGACTCCATCGACACCATCCATCAGACTTCGACGAGAGCCCTTAACAGCATGACGCCCGAGGCCTTCCAGAAGGGCTACGAACAGTGGAAGACGCGCTGGCAGCGCCCCTCTTGGTTCGCCCGAATTGCCACCAAAAAGGGAGGGGCATAACTACATGTTGTAGCAGTCCTATATACATAATTTCAACGTTCTGAGACTATTCGTTATGCGAGATATTTACGTACGGACGTCACCAAAAAAAATCTCGTCTGCATCCATTTTATAATCCGTTTTGGGGAAAAGGAGTTCTTTATTGTGTCCTTATTTATTGTAAAATTTATTGTCTGTGTGAAACCCATTATATGTAGCAGTATTATAGACATTCAACCTTCGGGTAAAAGCAAGTAAGAAAATAATTATTTTCCAAAGAGGTTATACTGAGAAGAAAATATTTCATTTTATACTAATATCTGTTTCAAGAAATCAACTGTATCAGTCACTTAAAACACCTATTTGATATATGTTTTTAAGAATTCAATATAAATAAGCAAGTTTACACATTATCATATAACTACTAAATGTAATCACAAATTAAAAAAGAAAATAATCTAAGCACATGTCCTTTTTCTGTGACGTAGCAACTGACTCTACTCTATAAGGCTCCCTGTCCCCATTTTCAAATAAAGCCTTCCTCCCACAGCTGACCATTCCTTCTCGGGAGCTCCCTCTCAGCTCCTCAGCTCCCGCTCCCGGCTCACCACTCTCAACTGCTTCAAAACCTAACTAACCATTTACATTGATATTACATAAATATATTTACTTTAATGAACACTGTATATTACAGATACTTTTCTTTGACATTTTATACTTTGTTCTATATTTTGCTCTATTTATATATACCTATATATAGTTTAAGGATTCCATATTAACTACTACATATGAAACCAAAAAGTGCATCAATAATTGTATTTTGCAGTATTATTAACTTCATTCTGAAGAATTTTCTGCAGTCTAGTTTGCGTTATTTCATTTATAAGTCTCAAATTAAAAACGATTCAATGTTTACATGGCATTAAAAAATTAACCAAAAAGCAGCAATCACAATGTGATTGAAAAACAGTCCTTAGACGTGAAAAAGCTGAAAGCCATTTGGGTTAAGACTATTTTCTCAGATACTCAGATACTTCGTATACATAGCATTTGAAATACAAAACTCAATATTTACACTAAAGATTCTTCGATGTTACAAATATCTGTCTATCTACTCTTACGGCTTTTAAAAAAAAGATGTTATGTGCCTTAAAGTGTATCGTTCAGTAATCCATTTTCAATGTACAAAGTTGCATTTATTCTAAGAATTCAATTTGTTTTCTCATTTTCCTCTGTATAAAACTGAATGCAGAGAAGTTAGATGTTTAAACGAACCCCACGTTTTCCCACGACTCTGAAGGGAATAGTTTCCTCATTTCCATTTTCCCCCGTGTTTAGAGGGGCTCGAAATTTATGACTTAACCGCATACATGCAGCATTCGCAATCAGTTATCCTCACTGGATGCGAAATTTAGGTTCTCAAATGCGCGTCAAGTGACATAATACAATATGTATACTGAGATATTGTATTATGCTCATTACATAATACAATGAGATTAATTCAATCGAGCATAATACAATGAGATACTGAGATAAATTGTTCACGCACGTCCTATACTATCGCATTCGCTCAATAACCAAATATGGGAGACAAGAAGTATCACTACTACGGGAATCTCACGTTGTTCTCAGCCAGGAGTCGGATTTCTTTTACCCTGATGCACATTTCGCTTAACAGCTATAATTATATCATCAAGAGCTCTCGATACACGTTCGTTTTCGTTCAAAATTTCCTTCTCGTACTGTTTCTAGCATTGTCTATATACTCATTATTGATAGCTTAACTACATTTAATTTTTTGTGCTGATAAAATAAAGTTTTGTTTTCCTCTGCGCAGTGGAGTAGCGAGCATAACTGGCCCCGGGCCAAAATACCTTTTTAGCGCCACCCCCCTTTCCTCGAGAAAAAAACACAGTGATGTGATGAAAATCTTGTTTGGAGACCCTCCCCCCTTGCCCCCCCCCTCGCTACGCCACTGCCTTTGCGATCCCTTGAAATAGTACATATAGTGTATTACCAAAAACGCATTTTTTACTTTCTCACTCGTTTTTTGGAGGACACTAATTCTTCCAAATCCGTTACGTTCCACACATACGTGAGAATATGCAGTATATTTTTTACATTACTTTATAAAATACTACAGTATGTAAGATAGTGCAGCTTCCAGTATACTTTATTGTAGCGTCTCAAACTGCCGGCCCACATGCAACCGCCTAAGGAACTTTATGTGGCTCGCGAATACATTTCACTTATATACTTGTTGCAAAAATTTCAAGATTTTATTATTTGAAGCCCGAGTTCATAGTATTTTCATCACCATCCAAAACGAACATGAATAACACACAAGAAAACCTATACATGAAGCTAATTAATTTAGTATGTGATACAAATCTTATTCAAAGATTTGAACATAAAAGTTTTATTAACTTGTCAAAAAATAAATAAGCTCAGTTACAAATTCTTGCACTAAGAATAACCACTTTGTTTGGGAATATATTTATATGTCAACAACCTTTTTTCGCAGTTGAAAATTAATAAGAAATGGATCCGATTGACCGACGAACATTTACAATCCATAATGAAGACCATTTCTAGTATTTCTCTCCAAGACTTTCTATCAGAATCGAAACGAGAATCAAGAGTCAAGCTGTAG